CAATACGGAAAATAAGTAGAGGTTACTTTTCCTTGCTAAGACGTGTTTTTAATGTACGTGATTTTACGTCTTATCAAAACAATTCAGATCATTTAGGGTTCCGAGTTTCAATCCTGCCTAAAAGGGGCCAATGCGGGCTGAGAAGGAAACAACTTCCCAGCAGAAAGACTGATATGTTCGATAAGAATTCTGCCCACATGGGACTCGAACTTAAGACTTCTGAGAAACGCCCAATCGCTACAGCAAAAACGCAGATACATTTTGAATTTTCAGCCAAGTACCGAACAACATAACATCATTGTGGTGGTAACAAACTAGAAACGTTTCCAGAGAACACACACACACAAACACATACACACACACACACACACACACACACACACACACACACACGAACGCACACACATCAACTCACACACACGAACACATGCCTACATACACACACAAGCTCACTGAACAACAAAAAAACCCTAAGAGAAGGCAACTTTTTAAAATATCAATTTTTGACTTTTATTGAGTTGCTTCCCTTACCGAAGCAAGCACTTCATTATAATTTAACAGCACACAGTTGCAAGCTCCTCTCTTTGGAACAGATCATTCTTTCAGTACATTTGTACACAGATTGCCTGTCAAAAGCAAAAGCATAACTAAACTATCTGAAGTACAGAGAGAGATAAAAAGTAGCATAGTAGGTGTACATGATCAATATCAATAAAAATAAAACATAATCCATAACCCAACCCAAATCAAGAAACAAGAGCAAGTTATAAAATACCAACAGGACCCTGAAAAAGAGAATTGAGTAGCTGAATGTTTGTTTGCATATATATTATGATGATGTAATTTTATGTCTGTGTATGTAATAATAATAGCTCGTCCATCAATGTCTGATGATGACCAATATACACTGCAGAGGAGAATAAATCTCCAGCAAAATAGAAGAATTTGAAGAATTAGATGTTAAGGTGGCTTGTGGCTTCTGTGTGGCCAAAGAGACCAATTCTGGCAGACAAAAGTTTGAAACATTTTGATCATTTAAACATTTCTTTTCCACTTCTTGTGGAGGAGTGAGGCTTGTGGGCTTCTCTGCACACAAAAGTGAAAAGTGTATGTCTTGGAGTGCGTATGTAGATATGTATTTGCTACCATTCCTAAGAGATAAACATACATTGAATAGTCTATGACTTAATAAACACTTCGTCACCTCAGAACTGTTTTGTTCACTGTGTCTCTTTACTTATATACACTGTCTGTGTTGTTCAGTCCTTCTGTCCTATCAAACATTTATCGGTGGGTGGTTGGCAGGTGCTCTGGTGTGGTTTGCTTCTTCTTTCCTATCAAACATCTATCGTCCTTATCTCCCCTCCTTCTTTTTTATGTTTGTTACTCTCTTGTAACACCTCTAATCTTCTGGCGCTCATATGACCTTATGCAGACCGTAAGAAACCTGTACTAAAACTAACTTACATACACTTTGGACAAAACAGTTCTGAGACGACAAGTTGTTTACATTATAGATTGGGTGCTCTTTACTTTTAAATTAATGAAGCATCTGAGAGATGCGCTTCCATCAAAGCTCTGTCCCTGTCACTGTTATGTGTGATTATTTGGGTTTTTTAAAAATTTGCTTAACAAAGTGGAGAATAGATGACCCAAGACCAATATATCAGCTGGCTGAAAGTACTTGAAAACAGACTTGCTAAGGGACACTTCTACGCACATACACTTACTCATCAACATACACTAAAGCAGACAAACACAGACTCACAAAAGCATGTACATGCAAATGTTTGTAGATACCCACATATGTAATAACATACACACAAGTATATGTTAATGCACGCACAGCTAAACACACACACACACACACAAAACACACACACACATACACACACACACATGCACACACACACATGCACACACACACACAGACACAAATAAACATACGCGCATACACCTACACACACATGAATCAACACATGGAAAATATATGGTTTCAGTCATACATCTTGATACAGGAAGAACTTCATTCATTTCATTGTACAACAAAAGATAACAACAGCAATAAATACAAAAGCTTGGCCACTTTGCGCCCAACACCATTGATTAACCAAAGACTATATAAATTTTAAAACACTCTTAAGGTAAACAAAACAAAACTCAGTTTGACTTTACACTTATAATGAGAACATGCTTGGGGCTGCTCAACAAATCACTGATAAATCATGACAGAAGCTTGTTCACTTTTGTCTGACCACGTTAAAAATAAGTCTAGCACACTCATGAATTTGCCAATGTGCACAAAACTTTATGTGGCACTCCTGTAGGCCAGCGACCAAACAATTAAAAAAAGAAAAATTAATATTGATCCAGTGATAAAAAAAAGTGTTTTTTTATAAGGTGCCTATATCAAATACCACTCTTCAGGTGCACATGCAGGATCAGTACAATAAATGGTTCACAGCAACTTAAAATTTTAAGACGGCAACATCACCCTGCCCCCCACAGCTCAGTGTAAGCTTGTACATTTCCTGAAAAGACCATCGAGACATCTCATCTCCATGTGAGTCTTCGAAAAATACACACTCATCTCATGGTCTGCATTTCATTGGTAGGCTGCATTCAAATGTGGCTTTGATGACAATAAGGCTAATTTCTATGTTGTAAATGCATACTGTAATCATTATTTTAACCTACTTTAGGCTAACATCAAAGAAAATGTGTTGAAACCTTAGTTTATAGAGATCCACAACAGCGGGCTTTTAGATTCTGTTGGTTATCCAACTTTTAGACCCACATGCAAAGAACTGAGAAAATTTGACAGAGCGCTTTGTTTCTATTCCGTTTTAACTACAGACAGACAGACAAAAGTGAACAAGCTATAACAAAACATAACAAGTGTAGTACAGACAGTGCAATAAAGGTGCCAATATCACGGGGATATTATGAACATTTTTCCTCAGCATCATTTCATGTGCAATCTGGGTAACTTGAGAAATAGTAATATCCTTTTCTTTCAGCTCATTTTTTAAATTTTAACCCGGACAAATTCCCCCCTTTGAGAGTTTGAAATATGTTCATCGATGGCAAGTTGTGATCTCACTAGCCAGCACAAGAAAAGGAGCAGCACATATATTCAAAACAGAACCGTCACTGGGACATCCGTGTAGTTTTCCTTCGAACCGCTCTGGAGAGGCTGTTAATGTTATAATAATATGCACAGAAATAACACTTCGTTAAAACATTTGATTTCTAATGTGGGGTTCCATGGGTACACGGACTGAATACAAATCATACACATAAGGTAATATTAGGAACAAGAATATTCTGCATACTAAGTCCACTTCCCATTAAAACAATACAAAGGACATTTTTTATTGTAAGCAAAATAACACAGACATAAAATAGTGTATAGAAATAATTTTCTCTTCCACAAAAAAACACCCATAAGTAATAAAGACATTATGCATTTCTCAAACGAAATTAAAAAACGCCAAACAAAAAATTCTTCACCTTCAAAGAAAATTTTGCTTGGTAATACATTAAAGAAAATCATAGTCAGAAAAGACACAGAAAAGAAATATTTTTAATGTGAAGAGCATGTCATTATTAATTTCACAAACATATCACAAAAAGAATCACAACCTCTAGCGAATGAAAATCAATACTAAAAAGAGACTAAGTTCACTGTAGGGGGCATTGTTGGCTACAAAGGTCAATAAACATACAAAGACTCAAGACTTAGATCTGCACAAAGTTTCTGAGCTTTTCCTGGATCTCCCCACATGTGTCAGGACGTTAAGGGAATCAGGCGCTCGCCAATTTTTGGGCATAGGAAGTTATAGGTAACACCTTAAAGCTTGTTCATTTTTCTCTATTCTGATGAAAAAAATATCCATCTATCTCGAACAGAAGTTGAGACAGTTGCGATTGAAGGAGGTGAGGGTCACCTGGTTTGAGAGGTAAAATTAGCGAGAAAATGGCCGTCAAAGTTTTCTGACTTCCAAATCTTGAGAGTCCTTGTAAACTGAAAATTTACATTTTGTATGCCTTTAATCAACGGTTTTTAGTCAAATCCGCACAGAAATGTGTTTCTAAATTGACATAAAAATGTCGTACCAAAACACAAACAAATCGATAAAATTGCCATACAGGTGGGAAAATGCTGATATCTCCAATTTCATTATTTTGTCGAGCCGCTGATTTCACCACGATGCCTCACTCATTCCCTCACAGCCTGGTGCAACACTGGGAGTCAAAAAAATTCTCATCTTCAAAACAATATGCTCTTTATTCACAACAGGATCAACTTTTTTAAAATGAGATTTTAAAAACAATAAACAAAGGAAGTCACAAGATCTTATTAGCTCAGTTTGTTACTCTAGTATATTTAATTACATACTTGACAAGCTGTGTGTGTTATTGCCAGTACCAGACATTTCAATTATTTTGAAGGATTTTTCGTCTCAGCCTTGAGTCTTCATTAAGGATCATCAGTTCAAACTGAAATGACCTATCCTGTGTATATGAGGCATTCACTGTCAAAAGCAAAACAGACAACATAAAAAAGAGAAAAAAATTAAGGAACATTCTAGGGTTGTCCTGAAACAAGATAAAAACCATTGTGCACAAAACATGTGGCATTCTTCTGAAGACTTAAGATCTGCCTATCAACTCTTTATCTCCGAGGGGGTAAACCCACTATGCACGGGCCCTTTTTTGGTACAAAATCTAAAAGTGACATATACGTGGTTAAACTGGTCACTTACTCAAAACAAGAGAACCAATTTTGATAGTTTTTCATCTACTGAATGAACATGGTTCCAACCACAAGCCACTGGGAGCGGATTGGCGCAGAAAAGGAGCTAATGTGGATAGACATAAAACCAACTTAACAAAAACCTGTGAACCTTCAAGTTACTACTGCTGAGAATGCAGTACCAGAAAGTAACCCCAGTCACTTCTGGACTTTGAACTTCTTCTGCTTCTTCCTCCTCTTCTTCTTCTTCTTCTTCTTCTTCTGGATAGCCAATTCTTTCAGAGCACAGCCTTCCTAACAGCCCATTTGAATGCAGTTCTTTCAACTCTCATGAATCTAACCTCGATGATAATTCCATCAACTAAATCAGAAATGTGTTGACTCCATCTTTTTTCTACATGTCATCTGTTATGATTTCCAGAAACTTTTCTTTCAAAAAAGTCTTTTTCCATACTATCGTGCCTTTTAAAAATGTGACTAAAAACCAATAATGATAAGCCTGTTACATATAACATTTGAGCAGGGCTACAACGAAAATGAACTGAATGTTAGTGCGCACCTCAAAGGAAATCTGTTGGAGTTGCTATTCCGTCAGCAGTGAAGAAATCCTAATGACTTACATCCACACATCAACAATGAGTGACAGGACACTGCTGTATGGAGCTCCCTGCACAACTACTGTATTCTCTTACAGAACCTTCCTAAACAAAAGCAGTTTGAATGGCAATAAAATTAAATGATTGCATTAGCTATATTGACAAATAGAAATCGATGAAGCATTCTGTGGTAATAAAAACTGACTTAAAAAATGACATCACTTGCACAGGGTGACAAAAGAGGTGGAATATTATGTACCGGTATGACAACTCAACTTAATGAAAGAAACTTTGAACAATATTTTAAAGGTGAGTATTTTGATAATACAAACCCAACATAACATGGGCTAAAAATATTGCAGCTATATTACGGCTGATACTGACTAGATGTTCATTAAATCCAGAATGCCTATCTGTCTCAATCTTTTAAGCAAAGTCAAACTAACTTCAATTACCCGACATTCATGAACACACATGCAGGCTCAGTCGAAACGATGTGGCAAGAGAGAATTAAAAATGCCAGATCATAAACTAACCCAGGCTGCTATTTCTACAAAGTGAGGGGCACATACAAGCCACCCCGAGGTAGTGGACCTATACAGAACAAAAATAACACATTAAAAAGAATAATAATATATGCAATTTATAACACATAGAACTAAATAAAAATGTCATTATCTAGCAGGTAGAGTACAACATGAAACCATCAGGATAAAAAAGACAGCAACAGTAGATTCCCCCTAACAACATATTCATAGAATAAATGTATTTCGAACTTAAATTAAAAACAACACCTCACTGCCACTTTCATTTTTAGCATTTTACCTCTGCATATGTGTGTGTGCGTAGAGAAAGGGACCAGTTGTCTGCAAATTATTTTTGAGCAACGGGGTGAAAAGGCAAAAAAAGTTGTACCCGGTCAAATATTGAGTTCCATCAGAAGATACACGCTTAATCATTTGTTAATAACGTTATTGAAAGGATTTTATAATATTTTCAGTCTCAATATTTTTTATTAATTATTTGTTCAACCTGTTGAACTCAAAAGATAAAAATGTGCTAGAAATTGGGTCAACATATGAAGCTTAAACCTGTCTTTCTCCAAACTTTGTTTTTAAAACACACTGAGTAACAAAACGTATCATATCTCTAAAACTATTCAAGATACTTGGAAATTTAAAAAATGAGCGTGTTCAGCTTTGAGTTCTCTACAAAAATATGCCCTTATTCCAAAATCCAAAATTTCCGACAACTGGGACCCTTCTTAAGGCACACACCCACATATGGTGACTTGAACCAACGAAGTACACGGCAGGTCGGAGACTATTGACAGCACAATGTACCACCAACAGGGAGCATAACTCCGAACTGGTAAGGACCGACACCCCCCACCACCACCCCCCACTCTCCCAGACCCATATGTCTGAAGTAGAAGTGGGACATTTTCTTTTTACACATCATGTCCTCAGTCGAGCTCAGTTCTGGTCCATTCCTCCACTGGGGTCTGGTCTGACACACAAAAGACCATACCACAAGCATACAGCATAGAGCCGGCCTGTCAAATAATCTACTTGCTTCACCAGGGTACTGAACACAAAAATGAAAGCGTTACTCAAATAAATTAAAAGCTTGGATCTCCCGGAGGGTAACATACCGGAATTGTACTCTGCACCAAGGGAAAATTTTTAAACATAGAAAAGACAATAGTTTCTCCATTACTTATACTGCTGTGTTTTTGTTCCACACAAAACGATCCAAGTAAAAAAAATCCAAAAAAAATCTGAAAAAATACAACTTTGGGACAGAGGAAAAGTGAAAAAAAACCCAACTAAATATACTTTGATCTCATTTGGACATACCAATCAGTTCATCTATCTCATTTATACAATTAATGCTTGACTGTTCTGAGCTGCCTTAATAAATGAAATGACACTCAATTTTATTAAGTCAGCACAGAATCCTTATAATATAAAAGTAAGGTGCTATCCTTTTATGCAAAAAGTAGAGCCACACCAGTAAAAGAAAAGCACTCATCCTTTCAAAGGAGTCTTTCAGCAGCTGGAGGAAACTCATGTCCTATTTCCATTGCACTTATACTGTTTTTTAAAGCAAATGTTAGCTCTATATACGGACTTTGCTCTCATCACAAATAACACAAAAGTTCTTAAAACTAGTGCAAAAGCCTAGGGTGCGCATCACATCATGATATCAGCCCCTGTGGTGTTATAGTAAGGTTTTCTTTTCATTTTTTTTTTAAACCCCAAAAACGCGAGTTTTATTTCTGTGAGTGGACGATATGTTATTATCAGGTGTCTGCATCTACAACACATTGGCCCTGAGAGACAGGGGTGAGGCAGCTTACCTCCAAATACATCTAAATTATGTCGACAGGGATGGGAAAATATCAACACAATCAGCAACAGTTGATCACACTCACCTCACAAAGAGAAAAATACAAAACTCTACACTGCAACTCTTAAAACAAGCACAAGTAAATGTTAAAAATATTTTTAAAATATAAAACAGTTCTTCGAGTACCGTGATTGTGATTCTGTGTAAAAACAGTAAACATTTGATGAGAACGGAAGACAACGTCTTCTCCTGTAAATGTAAAAAAAACAACTACTTATAGTACAGTGAAGTCCACTTTAACTGAACACGGTGAATCCGAAAACAGCAGTAAACTGAAAGAAAATTCCCCCATTTCTTTTCTTCTATCTGAGCAATCTCTCTAAACTGAAAAAAATCCAGCCTTCATGCAGGTTTCGGTTTAAGTGGACTCCACTGTATATGAAAACAAGTGACTTCATACATATAATTTCTTCAAGACAGACTTCCAAGACAATGAACGGCGGTATAAGACAGAACATTCTCAGTATCATTCTCATGGTCAACAACATATTATTATGAACACGAAACGTACCAGTACATAGAAATCCTGTTCAACAGTTTGCAAATATCTTTGGGAAAATCAGCGGCAAAAACTGGTGTTCCATGAGAACTTCAACAATCAGATGGAAAGGAAGCATCTATATTATGATAACGAAACATGTTCACTAAGGAACATTTAATGCTACCGACGCTGTATATTAAAAAACTTTTTAAGAAGGACTTCATGAAAACGATCTCTCATAGCTACTTTGAATTTATTGTACCATTTGACAGCATTCGCTCTCCTTTTTGATCTATCATAATCACTCATTTCTGCTTCCTTCTTCAATAATGGTTCTAAATCTGTCAGCCAGTTTTTAATGTATATAACTGGAGCACCAAATTCTTTCAGTAACCGCAAAGGAGGACTATAATGCTTGTATGCTGTCAAATTCCTCTTGTCTAGACTGCCGTCTGGCCTTGATATACTATGTCTGAGTGAGTTGTTCATGCCGGGACCGTTGCCACAGTAGCCAGGGGTCATCACATCTTCTATCACAGGCACGGAACCAAAAGACAAGGCCTCGTAGATGCGGTAGCATTCCGTGTTGAAACCTACAGGATTCAGGGTCAGATCACTCTGTGCCAGGGCTTCTGTGAATGCATTTCTTGTGTCTTCTGTTTCCTGTGGCATCCACCTGTGGAGAACACACAATGAGGTCACACAGGTGTCAAGTATATAACTCTTTAGGCGTGAGCAAAAAACAGCTTCACAATCTAGTGTACCATGCGGCTGCAATATGAACAAAAAAATTAAGATACATCAATAACTATAGGAGACCCCTCAGAGAAAGACTCCAAGACACAGTCAAACCTGAACACCGTAAACAAAAAAAATACCCCCCAAGTAACTCCAAGATAAAAAGATGGCAGTTAGCATACTACAACATACAAGATCCTTCAAAATGTTGACCAATTATGTGACTTAAAAAGAGAGCAGTCCATAATAGTGTGTGTGTGTGAGTGCGTGCGTGAGTGCGTGCGTGCATGTGTGTGTGTGCGTGTGTGATCTTGAGCTGAAATCGTTATCTGAGAAAAGTAAATACTCTACCCCACCTTCTCTAAGTTCAGGGACACCAAAAGTCAGCGACAACAAAAAAACTTCTGCAAAGTTATCAATTGCCTACATCTACTTTGGCTAGAGAGGGAAGCAGAATCAACCACCCCCCCCCCCCCCCCCCCATATACACACACACACACTCTCTAATAGAGCCATGTTTACCACAGAATCATGAAGAAATAAATGTAAAGCTTAGTTCAAGAAACATTCCAGATTTTAAAAAATAAATAAGTAAATAAGTTGGCCTTTTCAGTTTAATGAAGAAATAAATCAAAAGCTCAGTTTAAAAAATATGGCTCATTTTGCACAAAAAAATCTTCTTTTTCTTTCAACTGCACAAAAGTAAAGTTGGGTTTTTTTGTGTGTTTTTTTCAGTATGGTTTTATTGGAGACAGGTTTCTTAAAATGAGCAATAAAAATGTTATCACGTACTCCATTCGAGGCTTGACGTATCCCTTGTTTCTGAACGAGCTCGTGTTGAGGGCCTTCATGAGATCTTGCCTTGTGGAGTTGGGGTGCACTGTGCCCATAAAGTTGTACATGTAGTGTCTCTTCTGGTAAAGAGGCAGGTCCGAGCTGTCAATCAGGGGGAACTGACGGTACCTACAAGAAAAACAATATGCTGATTATTTAACGGAAAGTGTGTTTTTTAGTTTTAGTAAGAATTTAACAGTACTTGCAACATAATTAAGTGCTTAAGATTAGAGGATGTATGGATTGTGAAGCAGACTGGCTGAGGAAAAAATAAGCATATAGATATATGACAATAGATAGCTAGATGAATAGACTGATAGACTGGTAGATGAAGGAAATGAGAAACACAACGAGAGAGAGAGAGAGAGAGAGAGAGAGAGAGAGAGAGAGAGAGAAAGAGAGAGAGAGAGAGAGAGAGAGAGAGAGAGAGAGAGAGAGAGAAAGAGAGAGAGAGAGAGAGAGAGAGAGAGAGAGAGAGAGAGAGAGAGAGAGAATATAATATAAACCTGATATCTCTGTTGTCTATACGAAAGTGCACATAAAACATACAACTTACGTGGCGACCCCTAGCGGCCACTGGAAAAAGTGCTCGTTGTCCACGAGAGGACTGTCGTACACCAAAAAAGCGACCTTGACCCTGCCACCCTGGTGACTCATGTACTGCAAAAGCCATGAGTTGTCACAGCGCTCGTTGCCCAGCATCAGGACGGCGGCGTTACGCAGCATCGGGAGCGAGGGCAGGAGGTCCAGCCAGGGCCGACTCGCTTCCACCTGGGCCGGGGAGCGGCCGTTGAGCACCAGAACAACATTCTCTGCGAACCGCGGGACCTTGCTGGGCACTACACCTGGTCCAGTGCGGAACCTGCGGAGGTATGAAGTAAGAGTCAAGATGTCATCATAAAACAAGATCAAATGTCGAGATTTTAAAGATATTAATGAACTATTAGAGCTACCACAAGAGAGCAACAAACATAAAAAAGAAGAAAGAGAGACAAGGACGACCAATGTTTAATGGGAAAGAAGGAGCAAACCACACCAGAGCATCCGCCAACCACCCACGAAGTAAGAGATAAGATATCATAAAACAAGATCAAATGCCGAGATTTACAATTTTAATGAAATATTAGAGCTATCACAAGAGAGCAACAAACATTTAAAAAAAGAAAAAAGAGAGATAAGGACGACTAATGTTTGATGGGAAAGAAGGAGCAAACCACACCAGAGCCACTATCTAAGAGAATTTCTTTGAATTATGTTACCCCAACTAAGATTACCAACTGCCTTACAAGCGACCTGTTTCTGTTGAAACTAGGATTAGCAGGTCCAGAGCGGAACCTGCATGGATATTACATTAGAGATAAGACACCATAAAACAAAATCAGAAGCCAAGATATAAGATAATTCGAGCAATACAAAGTCAAACTGAGCCATCCGTAACAACGCAACCATCTGGAAAGAAAAAAAAGCAAGGGCAAAGAAAAAACAGGTACACTAAGCTTAGATAAACTTTGCCCCAACCCCTCCCCATCCCCAAAATAGATATATAAATATAATGAAATATATGAATAAATAAGGTTTAAAAATGTGAGGAGTGACAGCGGGAGAGAAAGAAAGAGAGAGAGAGAGAGAGAGAGAGAGAGAGAGAGAGAGAGAGAGATACAGAGACAGAGAGAGAGAGGGAGAGAGAGAGACAGAGAGAGAAGCAGACAGACAGGCAGAAAGATGGGAAAAGAGGGCAAAATAAATTAGTACTTTGATGATATGTGCATTCCATTTCTTAAGAAATATTATTATAACTAACAAACTTGAGGTTGCTCTTTTTGCAACACAAACGGAGCCAAAGAGCGCCGACTCTTAAAAAACGGCTTTACAGGAAAAGCCGACAGGAACAAGTAGGCGAGAAAAATAAATACTCAGGACACTAGACGTTCTGGACAATTCTAATTCCCCCCTCTTACTCCACTCCCCCCCCCTCTCCCCTACCAAACCATTTCCCTATTCCTCCTTTCAGTCATACATTGTCCATCCCAACCCCACCTCCCAAAAGAAACAAGTGAGAGCGCAAACGTGAAACAAAAAAAGAACACAAGAACAAAAATGAAAATCGAGACACACCCCCGCCCCAAAAAAGACTGAGTAAATGAAATACATTGAAATAAAAACATAATAAATGAATAAATAAGGGTTCACAATGCACACCCCCCAAAAAAACAACAACAACAACAAAAAAACAAAAAAACAAACAGCACAAAACAAAACAAACAAACAAAAACCAAGAAAAAAACCCAACAACAAACAAACAAAAACAACAACAACAAAAAACAAACAAACAAACAAACAAAACAAAACAAACAGAAAAAACAGCAACAACAAAACACCCACGACAAACTCAATAAAGTAAAAATGAAGGGAAATAAAAATAAAAGCATGCCCAAAGAACATTAATTACTTTCTTTTTACATAAAAGAGGGCGAGGGATCGCGAGCGAGAGAGACATCACACGGGAAGTAACAAAGATTAATCTGAGGCGACTGTCACATACGCCGACATTATCTCCCCCTGAATAAACCATCTCTTATTTTCATCTCGGACGTTGGATGGGAGATTTCATCCGCGGCGAGAAAGAGCGAAGCAAAAGCCAGACGGTGACGCGTGTTGGCGCTCCCAGGGGTAGTAGACCTGGCCCTGTCTTCAGTTGGCTTTCTGTCTTATTTATAAGTTGTTGTCGTCGCTATTTTGGCTGCGGGTGTACTTGTTGCTTCTAATGCTTTTTGTTTCTTTTTTGGGGGTGGAAAAAAGCAGGAGGTGTGCGTGTGCGTGTGTGTGTGCGTGTGTGTGTGTGTGTGTGTGCGTGTGTGTGTGTGTGCGCGCGCGTGTGTGTGTGTGTGTGTGGGGGGGGGGGGGGGGGGGGGGCTCTCGTGGCCTTGAGGTTAAGGTGTTCGCCTCTCACATAAATGTCCTGGGTTCGAATCCGGGTAGCGATGGACAATTTTTATTCTCTAAAATAGTCTCTTTTCACCCCCTTTCCTGCTCTCTAGTAATGTTCTGTCATCTGCTTTCGACTCCACCTTCTGCCCCCACCCCATCACCTCCTTTGCCCCCTCCTCTGGGCTCCTGACTCTTTCTGCAGCCTTTCTACTGCTACTCCTTGGCTCCTTCTCACTGCTGTCTTTCAGCCACACCCCAGATCTTCTGGTAAGAAAGATCCACACCAAGCCTTCTCGGACAAGGGCGAACAATCCCGGAGGTACCGTGTGCAAGCTGTGCTCGTTAAAAATCCCTTGGTGGTCTAAAATCGACAAGAGTAGGCTTCGGCCGCAATCCAGGCAAAATTCAAAATTTCCTGCTTATTGAAAATGGTTAATGTGTCCCGCGAGCTCATACGAGTTTATGCAGTTACGTGCGCCGTAAAACACTTACAATATTTTTAAAATACAAGATTTACCCAATAAAGAGAAAGAAGAAGATGCTGTAGAACAGGTCAACAAGTCAGTCAAATAATTAAAGAAGAGATACAAAAACAGTGTTTGTGACTACTGTTTTTAAAAAAGGGGAAAAATTATTTTAATCTCTCTCACTCTCTCTCTCTCTCTCTCTCTCTCACTCACTCTCTCTCTCTCTCTCTCTCTCTCTCTCTCTCTCTCTCTCTCTCTCTCTCTATCTATCTATCTCTCTATCTATCTCGATCTCCTTTTGTTTAAAAAAATCCAGCTTTAACAGTAAGGGAATTGTGCGTGTGTACTGTGTGTGTGGGGGGCGGGGAGAGAAAAAGATGGAGACATTTATAGATCCTACTGAAAGGTATCGGAGACATGAGATGCAGAAGCGGCGGGAACATTAACCATTTCGATGAAGTGGCCCTGCAATCATATTATACAAAACGATGCCTTTTGCCTCGGCCAGCAGAACGTGTAGACAGCGGTCGGTACTGAGTCCAACACAAACATCGGACTGTATTATTCTTGCGGGCAAAGACAAACAAGGAAGTTCTCTGCAGCTACTCGTCTTTGACCGAATACCGGTTTATTTTGAAAGCTGGGCCGGCACCCTTTTCTAAAGATTCGGATTTTGATGAACCACTACCCATTTTCTGATGAACTGGATTGTTGTAAGTTTTAGTTTTAGTAAGAGTTCAGCGGCACTTGAAACACAATATGGTAATAGGTGCCAAAGGTAGAGGTGTTACGAAAGAGAAAGAAACATAAAAAAGAAGGAGAGATTAGGCAGATAAATGTTTGATAGGAAAGAAGTCCTTTGCTCCTGAACAAATCACACCAACCACCCACTAACTGGACTGAGCAAAAATGTAAGAGAATTTTGTTTTCTTTTTTTTAATGAATCGGTTATCCGGACGAAGACAACTGCCTTACAAGCGACCTGTTTTGGTTGAAATTTTAATATTTTAACCGGATGTATAAAAAGGAATCGGGGTGTTCAGAGCTCAGTTGCTCTAACACGTGTACTTTTAACGCAAATATAAACTCCACTTTTCAACACAGTATTATTTAGTGGGGGGTTGGCGGATGCCCTGGTGTGATTAGCTCCCTCTTTTTATTTTAAAAGAGCTATCGGTATCTATTTTTTATACTCTCTCAAGTATTCGGTACTTATATGACCTAATTGTGTTGCAAGTGCCGTAAAGCTCTCTTCAAAACAAAGTAACGGATCAGGCCTACTTAGTAACGCGGTGACCTCGTTTTTAAAATATTTCTAAAACGAAGTACACTTTTGGTAACGCTATATTTCAACACAGTTAGCTGCTTCCAACGCAGGTTTAAACTCCTCTTTTTAACACGGTGCGCAAGTATTCACACTTTTTTAACGCAGCTTTTTGGGGGGAAGTGTACTATTTTTAAAACTACTTTTAAATGCAAAGCAATATCTTTAATATGGATTTTAACGCCACCTTTCAACGCAGTGCACTGCTTTTATCGCTATCTATACATCATAGAAAAGTTGTAGGCAGTACTGACGCCCTCTAACCACCCGAAAGAGCGACGAAATTAATATATTATGTAGTATCATTATCCCCCGTTTTGTTTGTTTTAGTACAGAGAAGCACAGCAACACAGCAACTCAATGAAGGTAATATAAATATCAGTGCACAGAAGAATCAAGACAGATGGACATAAACACCAGAGCAAAAGAAAAGAAGTAGGACCTACCAGTGGCGGCGCGATCCAACCACCCGCTTATTCCCTGAGAAAGGTGAAACATGTAAGCCGCATTTCAATACGACGTGGCCGGAGACAAAACCCTATAATTCAGCACGCACTCCCAGCCTAGAGTCGACGGTGTACAGCATGATTCCAAGACGATAGAATAATACACAATCATTTAAAAGAACACGGGAGTAAGGCAGACGCACATGACCACGATAGTGGTCATTTAGTGCTGGGAAGACAAGACGGACATACAGATAAAAAGTAGGGATGATAAAAAAAGGGTAATTCAAAGATGGGGATGTGTGTGTGTGGGGGGGGGGGGGTGCATTGTTGTGTAACGGTCATAACAGTCGTCTCGTAACCGGGACGTCGAAGTTTGAATCGTCTTTTGTTTGATTTAGTAAAGAGAAACACGCACATACATAACAATGCCCATTTAGAGCTGGAAAAAGGTAAGACAGACAGACAGAAACAACAAAGGGAAAGTTAAAAAGTAGGACCTACCAGTGGAGCCCTGTACCCACCCATTTTTAATATGATCACAAATTTATTCCATGGGAGATCTCTGAGCTTGGCTTATTACCAGTTATTTAGTACAGGGACAGAAAGAGTAAGTCAGATAGAATGGGAAAACCACAGGGATAGAAAAGAAGTAGGAATTATCAGTGGTGTCGTCCAACCACACACACTTCCACGG